TTCGCCTGGTTTAATTTCAGATAAAAAACAATCCATATAGCTAATAAATAGATTTATAATTTATATATAAGGTGATCCTAAACATCCTTGAGAAATCTGTGATTTTCCGTCCTGTTTTATCGACAAAATGTGAGGTTAAATAAACTATAAATCTATTTATTAGCTATACGGATTATTTTTTACCCGAAATAAGTCTTTTTTCTGTACAAATTAAAGTATTAACATCAACAAATGGCGAAACGTTCTAATTTCAGGTAAAAAGCAATGTCTAGACAATAAATAGATTTATATACAGTTTATCTAATCTCACATTTTGTCGATAAAACAGAAAAAAACAGATTCTCTAGGTCGTTTAAGATCCCTTAATTGATTTATCATATAGATATATGCAAATTATATATTTGGAAAAAATAATACTACAAAGTCAGGAAAAGACCTAATTTCTGGTCTTGGAAAACCTGAAAAAATCAGGGAATTTTTTCATGGAGTCTGCTGGACATCCTCGAATATATATTCGAGTTTCGAGATTTTTTCTGCCCGCGCAAGGGAGAGAGGAGGGTACTGACTCCCATCCGGTCATCGATTCCTGCTAAAGTCATCGACACGTGACTGCGCGACCGGTCCTGCAATCCAGTTTCCGTCGCGGCCCGATCAACCGGAGAGGACGAGAGTGAGCGAACGTTGATCGGGCGAGGACGAAAGGAGTCTCCCGATCGCTATCTTCCGTCGCGGATCAAGGACGCGCGCGTCCGCCTACACCGCTGGTCTCTTCCTGCGTCCTGCGTACCGTTATTATCGAATTCCGGTCTCTCCTTTCTTTCCGCGGAATCGAATTCGAAAATTCCGCGGCGTCTCGCTCTCGCGTGTGTCATATATACAGGGTGTTCCAGAAAAATGGGCAAGCAGTGTTCTAGAATGATTGGACTGATCCTTGTGAACAAAAAAGTTTATGTAAACGTGTGTCTTATTCTGGGCGGTTCTAAAGATACAGCGTGTTCCATTGTCAAAATTAATATACACTTATTATATATTAATATATATTAATTATATATTATATTAGAGTTTATATTTATTATATTAATTATATTGAAGTTGTATGAATTAATTATTTTAAAAAAGTAAAACTCTTCTCTCGACCGTACTGGCAAATATTATTTATTAAATCAGTCTCTCATAACTCGTCTAAGAGTCTTGACGTGTTGTCAAACCGACACTATATTCGTTCTTGACATCTTAAAATTATAATTTTATTTTTATTTTCACAAATCACTTGATTAGAACTCAAAGAAGGGTCGAAACGTTGTGATTTAATAAATAATATTTGCCAGTACGGTCGAGAGAAGAGTTTTATTTTTTTAAATTCTGTCTGGCGAGATTCTCAAATATCTACGTTTTTATTTTAATTATTTTAATTATATTAAAATTATATAAAATTAATATGGAGCAATTATATTAATTTTGAGTTTACAATAAATTTGAATAATTATTAAATGATTTTAATTAAGGGGAGACATACATTCAGAGACATAAAAAGAATAACTCTATATTTAGGAACTTTTTTCTCAGAAAGTATTAGAATTACCAATGTCAGGTTTTTATCAGTCTATATGTATTTAGTAATATTTAAGGTAAAATTTTTATTAACAAATAAAAATTGTGTTGGGTACCGTAACTACGTCTGATATCAGCAGCATCATCTGTCACATTTTTCTATAAAAGTTTCACTTTATATTACTAAATATACATATAATAGATTGGTAAGAACCTCATTTTGATAATCCTAATACTCTCGGAGAAAAAATTCATAAATATAAGGCTATTTTTACTCTAATTTTTTCTTAGAATTTACCCTGAAAATTATTGTAATTGTGGGATAATATGGTACTGAAAAATTTTATAAAAGTTTCTGTGATTAATATTTACTACAATATAATAAAAATAATAATATGTATACATATAGTAAATTTTATTATGTACATAATAAAATTAATTGAACGTATTTTGTATATCTTATTGTGGTAGATATTAATAAGAGAAATTCTTATAAAATCCTCCCAAGACTGATTTTCAGGGTAAATTCTAAGAGAAAATTCCCTTAATTAATAACCATTTCTGCACGAGTGAATATGATTCATTTTAATTACACTGGAAGTCAAAAATTTCAAATTAACACACAATTTATCAAACATGATCTAATGTTTACATTCATAATCCTGATGACACGAAACGATGCTGTATCTTCGTAACCATCCAGACTAGAACACATGTTTATATAAACTTTTTTGTTCAACATGACGCGTACAATTATTCACATATCCTAGAATCCTGACCATTCCTCCTGAAACACCATGTATATGTATGCGTGTTTTATGTAGCTCGATGACCCCGGCTGCTTATCCGATTCGCTCTCTCGGGTTTCCGTCCGTTGGAATCCGGATGCTGTGCGAGCAGAGAGTGACCCGCAGCTGCTGCACTCGCGGCATTCTTCGCGCATTGCGAAATCGCGCGTCGCGCATGGCCACGTGTAGGTGTGCGCGCGCGCACGTGTGGAACTGTCAACGTGTTTGACAGCTCCACACGTGCGCGCACTAGTCTGTTATATTTAATTTAAATATTTTATATTTCAATGTTATATTTAATTTAAATATTTTATATGCTTAATTAACAAAATAATAAATGATATAAAACTATGAAGTCACCAGATAATAATTAAAAAATGGTAATAATTTAATCGACCAATTCTGGCAAATAATTAAATTTATTGAATTTTCACAACGTTTCGGCCGTGGGTTTCAGCCCTTATCAAGTGCTATGTTCTTAAATCAAAGTAAATCACAACTTTTTTTAAAAAACAAAAATTCGATCTTAAAATATGACATTATATAATAACATGATAGTATAAAACGAAATAACTAAGTTATAGTATAAAATATGACATTATATAATAACATGATAGTATAAAACGAAATAACTATAACTTAGTTATTTCGTTTTATACTATCATGTTATTATATAATGTCATATTTTAAGATCAAATTTTTGTTTTTTAAAAAAAGTTGTGATTTACTTTGATTTAAGAACATAGCACTTGATAAGGGCCAAAACTCACGGCCGAAACGTTGTAAAAATTCAATAAATTTAATTATTTGCCAGAATTGATCGATTGAATTATTACCATTTTTTAACAAAATAATATTTAGTCAAAAATATTAGTCGAAAATAATGTTTGGAGCTGTCAACGTTTGCGCGCACTATAGTCATTGATGCGCTCTCGCGCGTCACGTCACGTGTGAATTGAAAAAATTTGTTAACTTGACTTAATCTTTCAAAAATATTATTTTCAACTAATATTTTTGACTAAATATTATTTTGTTATAATTAAGCATATAAAAAATATTTAAATTAAATATAACATTTATTAAATCTAACAAAAAGGGTTGAAATGTTTAAACAATGTTTACACACATTGTGCAATCGATCAAAACAATAGAGAAGGAAGCAATTAAACATTAAACTCGAAAAATTTATGGCAAAAAATCTAGACTTCAACAACTGACTCTTTCATTGTCCACTTTAAATAAAAACATAAAAACGTCTAATACATCAAATTTTAGAATATGATTTGTTCACTTGAAAAATCATTGATTATATTTGATTGCTTGTCTTTTTAAATAATGCGATTTCTCACTGGGTGCTTAGTAAAGAAAATATAAATATGTTTAAAATTTTCTGTATCATAATTGATTTATTAAATATATTTATATTTACGATAAATATATTCTGACATTTATATGGTAAATATATTTATGATCTTTTGAATCTAAGATCCTAAAAAAATTTATAAAATATTATATTTATGATAAATATTTATTAAATATTAAAATAATAATAATGAATATTTTGTATATATTATGTAAATATTTTGTACTTTCTGGGATTTTTATGTATAGATAATAAAAAATATTGTATTATCTATAACTGCATTTTAGATTAATTAAAAAGTATTATTTATCTTTTACTAAATTATCTAGAATAATATTCAGATAATTTGGTTTAGAGTAATTAAGCAATAGAACTTTAAACGGTAAGCGATAAAACTTACAAGTAAATATATAAACATTTTTTTATATCTCACCTTTTACAATTTATGTGTTTTCATAACTGTTGATATTAGTGGTTTTAAAAATAATATTATCTATTTCGCTGCGTATACATATTATATAATTTTATCTTATCAAAGATAAATTTCCTTATTCTCATTTCATATCTTTATCAAGCTATATATTATTTCAAAATCACATAAGTATCACTAGTCAACAGTTTAGCCAACTATTAACATTAACATACATCTAATAGAATATTAACATTTTTAAACGATATTAAGTTTTTGAGTTTTTAATTTGTGGATGATTGATACATATAATATATGTTAAAAGTGATATAAAATTAATGCAATCTACTTTAAATAAAAAATATATAGAATTATTAAGCAAATACGATAATATATAAATATATACATGCAATAATAAATATTTTTCATTTGCCATATATAGTATATCTTTTTAACTAATGCAACATACATGAAAATTTATTATAATTTATTACATTATTATTTGATAGATTTCGCATTTTATCCTCTTTTATTTTTTATTAATTTGATAATTTACTTTAATCATTTTATCCTCTTTTATTTTTTATTAATTTGATAATTTACTTTAATCATATGTTTACCGAACTAATCTTTGCTAACTTAAAAAGTAGAGGTTGGAAACATTCGCATTTATTGTAATAATATTTGCGATTGTATAATTTTATTCTTGTTTTTTTAATGTATGTAGAATTATCGGCACTGGATTACAAAACCGTAACTGATAAAACTTATTAAAATACAAATTTGTCTCTGTATATAAATATTTATATTTATACAACAAATTATATACGCGTTTTTTCACGACCTTTCCTTTTTCTTCTGCCTAATATCTTCTATATTCTTCGTTAAAATATTTCTTCTTATACTTTTGTTAGTAGCGCACGATTGCTGATATAAAGCAGGTATCATGTCAAGCTTAGAAGATTCTTGGGTTTCGAATTATTACACAACAGGAAAAGAAGTGGTAATATGCGATATTTGTTACGAGGAATATCGTGGAAATAGCAAGATCGCTAATTTATGTAGACACTTAACAAGTCATCATGAAGTTGAAGAAAATAAAGCAAAACGTATCTGCGATTGGCTGAGTAAATTTTTTATCAAAAATAAAATCGATACGAATTATTGTTGCTGCAAGTATTGCAATAATGACATTCTGTCTAAATCAATATATTTAATAATCCATTTAAAGCAAGTGCATGAATTTGAAATACCTTCGGATATCAAACCAGCAGGGTAATTATTTAATATTATTTTTTTTAATGAATTATTAATAAGTAATTTTTAGAGTACAATAAGTAGAATTGTGTATAATTAATAAAATCAAAAAATATAAATATTCGAGATATATTTGTCATAAGTAATATAATTATTCGAGCCTAGTACTATACTGTCGAATACTGTATTTTAAAACTCCTATAAATCAGTGATATGTGACAATTTGAATATAAGTATAAATTTTAAATATATTAAATATAAAAAGGAATAATAATAGAAAAAAAGAGAATTTTTGTATTTGAATGGTATTCTTATATTTTTAATTTATGAATGTATCAAATTCAAACTTTGAGAGACGTTTAAATCCTAAAAGTGTTTTATTAATGAGAACAGTTTGTGTCTAATAATTATACATTGTACAATTTGTACACATTATTGAAACAAGACTTTATATTATTGATTAATTGAGCAATTTTTATTTTTTATTCTTTATTGTACAGATTATGGAGTCAAGTTGCACATATCGATGAATGGACATGGGAATGTTGTACAACAGATTTATTAACAGAAGATAAGATATGTATAAAATGCAAAATTTGTGGTGAACGTTTATTGATTGGAATATCTGTCAACAATATAATAAACCACATAAAAAAACAACATAAAAAGGTTTATGATGAAGAAATGCGTTCCCAAGTTCCACGAGAATTGAACCTTTTTTCTATAGAGAACAATCAACTAAAATGCAATAGTTGTAATTTTTTTAGTCCTCTTCATTATTCTAATTCCAACAAGGAATTGGAAGATCATTTATCGAATAAACATAAACTTAATTACGCTCAAATAAATGATCTTGTCAACGGGCTAATAATGTATCGAAATACATATATTCAAACATCAGAATGCAAGACTTGCAAGAACATATTTCCGCAACAATATTTTAGTTTAATAAGACATTTGATTAAAGAACATTCAATCGGATTACATCTAATATCGGAAAAGTAAGAAAAATATACTTTATTTTTTAATATTTTTTTATCTTTTATAAATCGCATTTATAAATATTAAAATTTAATGACTCTAAATAATTTTTATGTATAATGAATAGAATTGTATGTAAGTAAAATCATAAAAACTAAAACATTTCGCATATGTGTATATCACATATATTAAAAACTAATGTTATAGTATTAAAATATGATAATAAAAAAAGAGTAAACGTTGATAAATTTAGTATATTACTATTTTAACTTTTACTTACATATATTTTTGTGGACGTAATTATAAATGTATATTACATTAAATGGTGTATAAAATATATAAGCATGCATTAAAAAGCATAGAGTTCAGGTATATATATGTATTTATAATGAATATTATTCATATTTAAGTTAACTTAATTTAACTCATATCAATTAATATTATACCAAAATACAGTAATAAATTTTTGTTATATTTAATATTTTTATCTAATAAATAATACTGGTGGTGAATATAAGTATAAAATTTAAATAATCGTGAAAGAATTTATTTGTGTTTGCACAATATTTGCATATGTCGATCTTTTATTATGAAATGTTTCGATAAAAGTGATTTTTTTCTTAATAATGATTTTATTTTTAATAATTATATACATTGAATGCACATGATTCATATTTAAGACTTTATTATACAATAATAATAAGTTTCTACATATATAATAATTATTTATAAATCATCGATTTTATTTTTTATTCTGTACAGATTATTAGATAAATTGAAGATTTTTAATTCTGATAACGATACCGAAGATGTTGCTCTACCAGGAAGCAGCAGTCAGCAGACAGATCAGAGTATTAACCAAAGTTCTTCCAAAATCACATCAAGGTAAAAGAACCAATAAAATCAGAATTACTATATTTCTTGTTTCATTTATTTGTCTATATACTTTTATGTACATGTATTATAAGTACAATAGATATACCGAATAGAATTGCAAAGAGTAGAATTGTATATACGTATATAAATTTGTTATTTACTATATTTAATACTCATGTAATTTGTGACAATTTAGATATGTATATGAATTGTGAATAAATATAGAAATTAAATAATCTGGTAGAAATGTTTGTGTTTGGACATTTTAATAATTATATGATTGCATATGTTTCAAAACTTTATAATATAGATTAATTTAAAAAAATTTATTATTTTCCGTGGAGGTGTTTTCAATTTAAATTTTGAATATTTCAGACAATAAAACATAACTTTTGTTAGGTATATATCAAAGTACGATAATACAAATTTTTTAATTTTACTGTGTTCAATATTCTTGTAATCAATGAGTTGTAAATTTAGATAAGTGTCTCTTGTAAATAATTATACGAATTAAATATATATCGAATTTATGAGAATATGGAATTCAAGTTTTTTTTAGAGATGTTTTAATAAAAATGTTTTATTATTAAATAACAGTTTATATTTATATAATTATACATTGTGCACATTACTCAACCAAGACATTTATAATGTTGACATATTTAACAAATTTTATATTTTATTTTGTACAGATCATCAAATTTGTATAACTGTTCGAATTATGACCAAATCACCAACAGTGATGTCCAAATTACTTTTCTTCAGGAGTTTGAAGATGCCAATTAAAATTAAAGATGCCTCTGATTACGATATTGACGATGTAATAAAATATGAAAATGAAAAAATTGAATGTGTATTAAATTTTATTTTTTAGATAATTGAATGTGCATTAAATTAAAACAATTGGTAATGAATTTGACGATGTTTAATGAAAGGTTTCATTTGTAGTAGAATTCTGAATTTTTTGACAAATATGTGGTTGTTCTAACTTCTATTTTTGAAAAATTCTCTTAATATTTTTTTACATAATTAAAGTATTATTAAAATATAATTAAGTACTAGTAAAATAATATTAAGTATTAAACTTTATAGATCGGTGAAAAATTACTTTTTTATATTTAAAATTTTTCAAAAATATAAATTTTACATTTTACCAAACTATATCGGTAGCCATTACGCTTATTATCTATATCCTTTATTATTTTTGTAGAAAAAAAATAATTTTTACGCACATATATTGTTAATTAATTTGCAGATATATTGCATATATATATATATTGCATATATTTATATATATATATATATATATATACTTTTCTACTCACAAACAAACAACTAAAGATTAAAATAATAATTATTAATATTTTGTATATTATATATAAGTATTTTGTGCTTTCTGGGACTTTTATATATAAATAATAAAATTATATTATATTATCTATAACTGCCATGCATCTTAGATTAATTAAAAAAGTATTATTTATCTATAAAAGTATATATAAATATTAATAAATATTTATAATAAATATTTATTAAATATTAAAATAATAATTATAAATATTTTGTATATAATACGTAAACATTTTGTACTTTCTGGGATTTTTATGTATAAATAAATAAATATATTGTATTATCTATAACTGCATTTTAGATTAATTAAAAAAGTATTATTTATCTTTTACTAAATTATCTAGAATAATATTCAGATAATTTGGTTTAGAGTAATTAAGCAATAAAACTTTAAACGGTAAGTGATAAACCTTTTACAATTTACGTTTTCATAACTGTTGATATTAGTGGTTTTAAAAATAATATTATCTACGTATTTCGCTACATATACATATAATTTTATTTTATCAAAGATAAATTATCTTATTTTCATTTCATATTTTTATTTAGCTATATCTAATTTCAAAATCACATAAGTATCTCATATTTTTATTTAGCTATATATAATTTCAAATCATATAAGTAACAACTATGTCAACAGTTTTAGTCAACTATTAATATTAACATACATATATTAGAATATTAACATATTTAAACGATATTAAGTTTTTACGTTTTTAATTTGTTGATGATTGATACATAATTATATTATATTTTAAAAGTAATATAAAATTAATGCAATTTATTTTAAATAAAAAATATATAGACTTATTAAGCAAATACGATAATATATAAATATATACATGGAATAATACATATTTTTCATTTGCCATATATAGTATATCTTTTTAACTAATGCAACATACATGAAAATTTATTATAATTTATTACATTATTATTTGATAGATTTCGCATTTTATCCTCTTTTATTTTTTATTAATTTGATAATTTACTTTAATCATTTTATCCTCCGCATTTTCTCCTCTTTTATTTTTTATTAATTCGATATTTTACTTTAATCATATGTTTACCGAACTAATCTTTGCTCAAAAATAGAAATTGGAAACATTCGCATTTATTGTAATAATATTTGCGATTGTATAATTTTATTCTCGTTTTTTTAATGTATGTAGAATTATCGGCAGTGGATTACAAATACCGTAACTGATAAAACTTATTAAAATACAAATTTGTCTCTGTATATAAATATTTACATTTATACAACAAATTATATACGCGTTTTTCACGACCTTTCCTTTTTCTTCTGCCTAATATCTTCTATATTCTTCGTTAAAATATATCCTTCTTATACTTTTGTTAGTAGCGCACGATTTCTGATACAAAGCAGGTATCATGTCAAGCTTAGAAGATTCTTGGGTTTCGTATTATTACACAATAGAAAAAAACGTCGCAAAATGCGATATTTGTTACGCAGATTTTCGTGAAAATTGGCAATACACATTGGATCTAGATAAACACCTAACAAGTTATCATGAAGTTGAAGAAAATAAAGCAAAAAGTATCTGCGAATGGCTGAATAAATTTTTTATCAAAAATTATATCAATGCGATCTATTGTTGCTGCAAGTATTGCCATAATGACATTCCGTCTAAACCAGTATATTTAATAATCCATTTAAAACAAGTGCATGAAATTGAAATACCTTCGAATATCAAACCAGCAGGGTAATTATTTAATATTATTTTTTTCTAATGAATTATTAATAAATAATTTTTAGAGTATAATAAGTAGAATTGTGTATAACTAATATAATCATAAAATATATTTGAAATATATTTATCATAAATAATATAAGTATTCGAGTCTAGTACTGTCGTGTACTGTATAATTAAAAACTCTTATAATCAGTAATATGTGACAATTTAAATATAAGCATGAATTTTGAAAAATATAAAAAGTAAAAACTAAGAAATATAGAATTTTTGTATTTTAATTCTTTTTATGTTGATAAATGACGAAAATATCAAATTCACATTTGCAAGACGTTTGAATAATAAAAGTGTTTTATCAATAATAACAGTTTGTGTTAAATAATTGTACACTACAATTTGTACATATGATTTAAACAAAGTTTTATAGTATTAATTCAGCAATTTTTATTCTTTACTCTTTATTATACAGATTATGGTGTGGTACTGCAAATAACGAAGAATGGATATGGTATTATTTTTATTTTACAAATATTGAAAGTGTAAAATGTAATATTTGTGGTACATGTTTTCCTGTTAAAATAAATACCAACAATATAACAGCCCACATAAATTACAACCATATAGAGTTTTATCCAAAACCTATTTCGAAGAAAGATGTAATGAAAAAAAGGTTTTTTTCTATAGAAGACAATCAAATGAAATGCATTTATAAATGTGATTATTCTTCTCCTATTTGTCGTCATATTTCTATTCATTCGAACGTGGAACTGCAACAACATTTACTTAATAATCATGAAATCAATCACGCTAAAACCAATGATCTTTTCAACTGGTTAATGTTGTATCGTTATGTATTATCTTTTGAAACATCAAAGTGCACAATTTGCGAGAACATGTCACGACAAAAGACTAGTTTAATGACAATGATGCATTTTCTAAAAGAACATCGAATCGAATTTCTGTGTCATCTAATATCGAAGAAGTAAGAAAAAAATGTATTATATTTATGTAATATTGTCTTATCTTTTTTAAATTATTTATAAATAATATTACTTTTAAAAATTATAAATAATTTTTTACGTACGAGAATTGTATGTAATTATAATCGTAAAAATTAATATGTTTAACATGTGTTTTTCACAAGTATTGAAGATATTCGAGTCAGCTTAACTAATATTATATTAAAATATGGTAATACAAATAGAAAACGCTGATAAATTCAAAATATTACTATTTAATCTTGTATTTGCATATATCTTTGTGAATATAGATATAAATATATATTACAATAAATATAATGTAATAAAAGCATGAATTAAAAGAAGTATAGAATTTAAATATTTAACGTGTATTTGTCATAAGTATCATCAATATGCGAGTCAATTTAATTACATTATATCATTTAATATATCAGAATACAATAAAATATGTTATATTTAGTATCCACATGGGTAATGTGTTAGTGACAATTAGGATAAGTATAACTTATGATAGTGATGAGTATGAAATTCAAATAATCGTAAAAAAATTTTGTTGTGTTTGCATTTTATTCGATTATGTCGATCGGTTTTGAGATATGTTAGTTTAATATAATATATACAATATTAGAAATATTTTATCAGTTCTCGAAATAAATAAATAAATTATATACACACATAATTAATAAATATATGCATTGAGTGCACATGATTCACTTTTAAGACTTTATAATAATAATAAATTTATATATAATAAATATTTAAAAATTATCAATTTTATTTTTTATTCCGTACAGATTATTAGATGAATTGGAGATTTTAAATTCTGATAACGATACCAAAGATGTTGCTCTACCAGGAAGCAGCAGTCAGCAGACAGATCAGAGTATTAACCAAAGTTCTTCCAAATCACATCAAGGTAAAGGAACCAATAAAATCAGAATTACTATATTTCTTGTTTCATTTGTTTGTCTATATACTTTTATGTACATGTATTATAAGTACAATAGATATAACGAGTATAATTGCAAAGAGTAGAATTGTATATACGTATATAAATTTGTTATTTACTATATTTAATACTCATGTAATTTGTGACAATTTAGATATGTATATGAATTGTGAATAAATATAGGAATTAAATAATCTGGTAGAAATGTTTGCACAGGTTGTCAGATATTAAGGAGGTTATAAATAATGATACAGAAAGTGTTGGTACATCAGCAATGAGCAGCTATCAACAGATATTAAATCTGGAAATAATGTTAGTGTTTAAACATTTAAATATATTTGCATGTGTCTTAAAATTTTATAATATAAATTAATTCAGAAATTTTTATTTTTGTCCACGCAGGTTACCAGATATTTTAGAGATTAAAAATACTGATAATGACACAGAAGGTGTTTGGTACATCAACAATAAGCAGCTATCAACAGCCAACCAGGAATTAAATAATCAGGAAGAAATGTTAGTATTTGGATATTTTAATAATTATATATTTGCATATTCTTTAAATCTTATAATATAGATTAATTTAAATAATTTTATTATTTTTCGTGGAGGTGTTTTCAATTTAAATTTATAATATTCAAGATAATAAAACATAACTTTTGTTAGGTATATATCAAAGTACGATAATACAAATTTTTTAATTTTACTGTGTTCAATATTCTTGTAATCGATGAGTTGTAAATTTAGATAAGTGTCATTTGTGAATAATTATACGAATTAAATATATATGAATTTATGAGAATATTGAAAATTCAAGTTTTTTTTAGAGATGTTTTAATAAAAATGTTTTATTATTAAATAACAGTTTATATTTGTATAATTATACATTGTGCACATTACTCAACCAGGACATTTATAATGTTGACAAATTTCACAATTTATATATTTTATTCTGTGCAGATCAAGTATAAATGACTGTTCGAATTATGACCAAATCACCAACAGTGATGTCCAGATTACTTTTCTTCATGAGTTTGGAGATGTTGATTCTTATTACGATAATGACGATATACTTAATATAATATGAAAATGAAAAAATTGAATGTGTATTAATATAAAATAATTGGTAATGCATTTGACGAGGTTCGGTGACAAATTTCATTTGTAATAAAATTCTGAATTTCTGAGAAATATATGTGTTTGTTCTAACTTCCATTTTTAAAAAATCTTTTTAATATTTTTTTCCATAAATAAAGTATTAATAAAATATCATTAAGTACTAATAAAATAATATTAAGTATTAAATTTTACGAATCGGTGAAAAATTAATTTTTTTTAATTTCAAATTTTTCAAAATTATAAATTTTACAACTTTACAAAACTGTATTGATAGTCATTAATTTGGTAGCCATTACACTTATTATCTATATCCTTTAATATTTTTGTAGAAAAAAAAATTTTTATGCCTATATGTTATCGATTAATTTGCTGTTATATTATATATATATATATATATATATATATATATATATATATATATATAACTTTTATACTTACAATAAGCAACTAAAATGAAATTTAATATATATTTTAGAAATAGATGTAATTAAAATATTTTTATTTGGAATCAACGAGATATAGGAGCCGAATGCGTATATGTGTGCGTTTGTTAATAAATTAATTTTTCGTTACAACTAGATAATCGGGCACAGGGCACGAATTTTGTTTGGTATACTGTCAAGACATATTTAGGTAAAGTATATTAATTCGAGATTAGTTAATTGCTGTATTCCCATCTGACTTACCAGCAGAAAAAATTTATGTTATGTAACTGTTTTTGCGTGTCAATTTAATCTTTATTTTAACAATATTAGCCAACAAGCCGCGCGTTTTGCGCTCTTCTCTGATATCAATTCTATTGTTTATTTTACAACTGTCAAATTGTTAATCTTTGTAATGACAGTTGCCTGATGCTATGATTATAATTTTATTTATGTATAAAATATTGAATTAAAAATATTGAATATTGAATTGAATTAAATTTATGTACAAATAGAAATTTGACGAATTAAAATAATGTTCATAGTAGAACTTACTTAATTTTGATTCACCGAATTCATATTACAAACATAGTAAAAATTAACCGAATTTCCATTATAATATAAATTTATCGAATTTCCATTCTGTACATAATTTTAATTTGCCGAATTTTTATTGTGTATATTGTACACTAAAAAAGAAATTTGTTAACTTGATTAAATCTTTCAACTAAATATTATTCTTGTAATTGAACATATAACAATATTTAAAATTAATTTAACATATTAAATCTAAGAAAATATGTATATTTGACTTAAATACCAATAATATATGCTCAATTTGCAAAATAGTAATTTAGTCGAAAGTTTTAGTCAAGTTAAAAATTTTTTTCAGTGTGTTCTCAGTAAGTATAAATTATAGAGGAAAAAAAGTGTGAAAAGTTAAACCGAGAATGCAAAATGTGCTTAAGTGACGTAAGAAAATTTGCTCCTTAGTAGTAAACGAGATAACTTGTGTAAATGAATGTACACAGAGAGAATTTTCTTTCAAAATTTACTTAGAAAATCATGATAAATCTGGGACAATATAGTATTAGAATTTTATAAAAGTTGCTTTTATTAATATTTACCACAATGAAAAAATATCAATATCTACATAATAAGATATAAAATATTTTCGATTGAATTTACTAAGTACATAATAAATTTTATTATGTACATAATAAAATTTATTATGTACATATTAATGTTTTTTATTGTGATAAATATTGAATCAGAAAAACTTTTATAAAATTGTACCAATGCCATATTATTCCATGATTATCATGATGTTTAGGATAAATTCTAAGACAAAATTCTTTTTGTGTAATTGTACATATTATATAGGTGTAACTAATAGAGTATGAAAGAATTATATATATATATTTTTATAAAAATTAAATTATATAATACATTAGGAATGAAGAACATATAATTATACATTATGCCATCTTTCTTCTGAATAATACAGAAAATATATTTATTTTAAATTATAATAGTACAATTATGAGAGATTATATATCAGCTTGCAATATAATGTTAATTAATAGATATACACATTTAAAAGAAGATAGTCACAAATAATAATATGAAGCCTTATAGTGATATTAAACAAGCTGCGTATTTTAATTTACTCTCTTCTTACTTTTTATATCTGTAATAATTATCATTATATATCGCAAGCTGTATATTTTGCATTATATAATTGATTGTAGCAGATATAACTGCATTACTATATAAATAACATAATAAATTAAAATTGTATAAATCAATATTAATTATATTAGAATATTCAAATATTAATTATAGGTGAATATATATATTAATTTTAATAGAATATACAGTTTGTGCTTTTATATGCGAACAGAAAATATATTTATTTTACATTATAATAGTATTAGATTATGGTATTAAATTATAGTAGTATAACACTAACAAGGTATTATACCTTGTTAGTTATATCATTTACATTTTATATTTTTATCTTACTATATTCTTATCAATTTTAACTGCAAAATTGATATATGTATTTCATATATTACAAACAATATATTCTAGTATAACTATAATATATACATATATAGTGTATCATTGCTCGACTTGAAAAATCCGGAAATATTGGCCAAGAAAAACCAGACCGGTATTTCTTTCTATATAACAGCTTAAATTCTCGGCGCATTAGTTTTCCGGATTTAGATGAAAATAAGCTAATTATTTACAAGCGTTGCTTCGAATCGAATAGGAATGGTCAGTTATTCTAACATTTTTTTTTTTTATACACGATACCCGTTTATAATTTTATGCGAACATATATATATATATGATTTTAAGATATTTGATAAACTATTATTTATGTAATATTACCATAAATCATAGAGGTAATATTTTTTTTTTTTCGATATTAATTATACTCTCTGGCAATATAAGAATTGAACGTATTAAATATGTAATTAATGGGCTAAAATAGCGCATTTTT